TTAAAAAATTCATTTATCTGTACAGTTATGCCATGAACATTTTTCTATAATTTTTTATTCTTCAATAAAAATTTTTTATTTTATTTAACTTTTCTTCTTTTGAGGAAGATTGGCCCTGTGCTAGCATCTGTTGCCAATCTTCCTCTTTTTCTTTTTTCTCCCCAAAGCCTCAGTACATAGTTGTGTATCATAGTTGTTGAGTTGTAGCTCTGCTATGTGGGACGCAGCCTCAGCATGGCTTGATGAGCAGTGAGTAGGTCCGAGCCCAGGATCTGAACCAGCAAAACTGGGCCACTGCCAAAGTGGATCGTGAGAACGTAACTGCTGTGCCCCAGGGCTGGCCTCCTTCAATAAAAATTTTTTTTAAGTAAAAAAAAAAAAAAAGAATCCATTCAGACATAACAATGTTACCACCCAACGTGGGGACTTCTGCTCACAGCAAGACATGCCAATAGTCAAGAGGCAAGGTGGTAGGAGAAAAAGGACTTTGTTATTACAGCTTGCTAGCAAGAGGGAAGATTGCGGACTCATGTCCAAAAGAACCATCTTAAGGGGGCATGAAATCTTACAGTAGTTATATAGGCCATTGTGTTATAGGGGAGGGGGTTAGGAATGTTGACCTTCTGGTGTTACAGACTAGGAGTGCCACACCAGATCTTTCAGTTTTCACTGATGATGGTTATCAGCATAGATTCTCTGTTCAGGGGTCATCACTTTCCTAAGGAATTCAAAAAAACAAAGTTATCATCTTATCGCAACTGGGAGGTACACGCACAAGCAGAGGTCGTAAAATCTACAGAGCAGTTAGATCTCCTGGAGGGTGCATATCCACCTGGGTTAGTTTGTCAGAGGTCGTTCAAAGTTACAATAGAGTTTTTCTTTTCTACAATATGGCTTCCCTTATGCCAACCTTGTCTTGAGCCAGTATCAACAACTCTAGGATCTCTTTCTTTCTGTGTCATCTTTCCTGAATCTCTGGTGAAAGGTCTCAGATCAGAGTAATGTTCTCCTAGGTGGTCCTTTTCATTATCCAAAAGAGCAGTTTTATTCCTGTGGTGTACAACTGGTACCCGAGCCCAAAGTAAAAATTCACTTTATCTGAAGCCTTCACCAACAGCCCCAAACTGCCACTTCTCTTGGAACTTACCGACTTCTAGAAACTGAGGCTGGACTTCCAATAAACTTGAGCCAATCCAGCTGAACAGGCAGAAAACATAGTTCAAGAAGATCTAGAAGCTGGAGAAATGCAGTCAGACTCAAGTGCTCTGAAGAGACACCAAAAATTCCTGACAATAAAATGGTCACATGAACAGCATCATTCTACAATCTTATTTTACCATCATTTCCTAAGACCACTCAAATAGAAATCATGAGATAAGTGATGAGAAGAAAATACAATTGGGCAAAATTCTATCTGGAGTTTTAGCTAAGGCAGTACATTTGAAAGGGAATGAAATTTGAAATAGACAAAATAGCCTTTCATGTTTATTTTAACATTTCTTTGATTTCTAGGATGTTACATATTTTTCATATACTTAGTGATTAATTGCACTTTCTTTTTTATAACTGCATTTCAATATTTCTGACATGCATTTTTTTCATATTTTAACACGTCCGAAATTGCATCTTGTAATGCATCTGAAAGTAAATGGCATGTCATAGTTTAACTGACCATGTATTTTCTTTGCAGCAGTAAATAAAATATTGAGGAATCTGGCAATCCACCACATTCTAGATTGGATGAGTGCTGCAATAGGTTATTCTTATTCTATTTTTATTGCATGTTGGATGTTCATCTTTCAATTGATTTATTAAAAGCAGTTTATCAAGAGTGTGAAATCTGTGTCTCATAATTGTTAAATACATTTTCTTAGTTTGTGTTTTAACTTTATAGTCATTTGAAATTGAACTTTTACATATTTCATAGTAAAATCTGTTGGTTTATATCCTTGAGACTTTTTGCTTTTTGTTTCATGCTATCAAATTATGTTCTTTAAAATCTCTTATTTATATTGTAAGTAATTGATGGTTTACTTAAATTTATGTACTGAATTCATGTACCATTTATTTGTTGTAATGTGTGAGATAATTATCTAATCTAACTTTATTTTCTCAACATCATTTACTAAATACTCCAAACTATCTCCATTGTTTGAAATGACAATTTTAACATATACTAAATTCTTATGTGTATTTGGATCCGTTTTGTTCTTTTTTGAAGTCAGCACCAAACTTTTAAATTATGTTAATAATAATATGAATCTCCCCCTCAAAATTCCTTGCTATTCTACAAGGTTATATAGATATTTCCTTATGAAGCTAAAAATTATTTGTCAAGTAAAACAAAACCAAACTCTCCAACAAAAAAATTTATTGTGGTTTTGGCTGAAATTGTGTTAAGTATTATAGAAGTTTCTGTAAGGGTAAACACAAATATTTAAAAAATTGAATTTTCCCTGGTGCAAAAAGAGGAAAAGACCCTTCCTTCCCTCTTTTCTTAGAGTATTTCCTTGAGAAAACCTGTAATTGTCTTTGCTGTCCCTTTGAGATGTACGCAAATCTTTTTAAAAAGTAAATAAGCCTCTTGTTAGTTTTACAATCCAGGAACATCTTTCTTAAAGGCTTTGGAGTCATGTCTTTGAAATGTAAACATCAAGGAAGATAGCACCCCCTCTCCCTGTGTGTGGTCAACTCCATGGCTATTGGCTACAAGCTGTAACTTGCTTGTCAGAGGGACACAAGAAGCTTCTTTTCATTTGGATAGAGGTAATTAACTAACACAGATGGACACCCCAATTACCAGGTGATTTTAGGATGAACTATGTGTAGCAAATGGTTTGTCAAGTCCCCTTACTTGAGGATGTTGGGGAAGAGGGAGAAGCCCCCTCTGCCTTTTCCCTTAAGGTTCTTATGGCTGGCCAAATAATTAAAAGACAGGTTAGCAGGAGAAAATAATACCAAGTTTAATAACATGTGTACATGGGAGAAACCAGGGAAACTGAGTTTCTCAACAGAATAGCAACGATTCTCATCTTAAATACTATCTTCAGCTAAACACAAAGGAGGATGTTGGGGGTGGGGGGTTTGGGATTTCAGGGGGGAAGAAGACAATTCACATGGAGAGGGAAATGTAAATATTTGTCAGACAATTCTTTGCAGGGCCACATATAGAGTATGTGGCCAGAGAGACAGAAAACACAGTAATCAAGAGTATGTAGATTTAAGTCTTTTTTTTCCATCCTGATAAGAGTTTCTAGAGATAAGGTCATCCCCTCCTCTTTTTACTACACAGAGGGAGATACCTTTACAAATGTAAATACTTGGTAAACAGAACTTTGAAAAGAATGGGCTTATCAAGGACCCTGCCAGTCTGTCTTTACCCAGAGTTAAATTCCTTTAGGCAGTTAGTGGGGGAGGTCAAATGTCCATGGGAGAAAATAATCAAGGTAAAGAGACATATTTCAGGGTGGCCAATTTTGATCTCCCACAAGGACAAGTTACCTTTTTATCTTGAAAACAGAATGGATTGTCTGCCTGGCTATATAAACGTGTGCTATTTCTGTCTTTGCAAACTTATTAGCGGATTGCCTGGGATGTGCATTGCAGTCTGATTTAATGCTTATTCAATAATAAAATCATTTCTTCTTTTCTCCATCTGTGCAGAGGATTTTCTGGGTTGGCAAGAGACTTTATTTTTAATTATTTCCCCAACACTTCCCACCTAGAAAACTAGTATTTGTATATGTATGCGTGTGCGAGCATACATATATGTATATATATATACACACACTCAAATATGTATATATATTTCTCTTATGGATTCTACACGTTTTAAAATTATGAAAATTTAATTTTTGTAATTAATTTGAATGGAAACTCATTTCTGTTGTTGGTATAAGAGTAAATTGATGTCATAAAGTTACTGACCAGGAAATCAGCATATATTCAGTATATATTCCTTAGCGAAATGAGTCAAAATACTTTATACTATTAGCATAAAATTTGAGTAAAAAAATCTCAGAAGAGGGTGCACCTAACATCAAGCCTCTATTTTTCTTTTGGGAACTGGTATGTGTCATTTGTCTTCTGTTTTAGCTTACACATATTTTCTCTCTATTACCTGTTTCATGTGTCAATTGCATAATTTTGAAAGCTAGCATTCCTAAGATAAAGTCAGCTGTTACAGGGTATTATTGTTTGAAATGCACTACTGTACTTGGTTCCAGGTACTTTCTTTAAATTACCATCAATATTCATCGCACCGCCTCAAGGTAGTTTTCTGTTTTCAATCACCCGGATTGCGGGTTGCCAGTTTTAATTACCTACCACTGTGAATAATGAAAAGACCAGGTCTCCAGGAAATCCCAGCAGCAAACAATCAGACAGCTCGGGGAGGCCCAACCTCATGACGTCATCCAAAATGGAATCGCAACGAGGCTCCTGGGAAGCGTAGTTCCAGAGTGGGGCGCGGGGAGCCTTCTGCGCATGAGCAATTCCGCCTCCTTGCAGTAGGCGCCATTTTCTGTCTCACGCCCCAGTGGGGAGAGGAGTCTGAAGCCTCCAGGTCTGCGCGGTGCCGCAGAGGGCGGGGCCTGGGATTTGCGCGGGCCGAGGCGGAGGCCGGGCGCCTGCAGGTGTGTCGCAGGTGTCTCTGCGGGCGCGAGGCCGGGGGCGGGGGGAAGCCGGGGCTCCGAGGCTGCGCGGAGTCCGAGAACCTGGAAGCCGCCGCCCCCCTCTGAGCGCCGGGCTGGCCTTGAAGGAGGACTGCGGAGGGGGCCAGGCAGGGGGCCTGGCGGGGGGCCGGTTGTCCCCATTCTTCTGCCTCCCCAGAAGCCGTGTTCCTCGTCCTGCGCGAGAGAGGCGGCCAGAGGAGGCTGGGGCTCCGGCGCTAGCGGGGACGGGCGCGGAGGGAACAGCGGTTTGTGACGTGGCCCCGGAGCCCGTCCCGGCCGGGCCGCGCGTCGCCGGCGTGGGCCCGGGCGCGAGTGCAGCGCCTGCCGGTAAAGGGGCAGGTGATCTGGGTACGATGCAAGATATTCATCTGTGAAAGAATAACCTTTGGGGTCTTTTTCTGTATTAAATAGGGTAGTACCTATGAAATATGATAAGGACTCAATAAAGGTGAGCTGCTTTTATTATTCCAGGGTATGCTGTTCTTTTCATTATTGGCTCATTTCATCATCTGAATCATCATATCCATCCTTTGACTCGGTATTAACCACCTCCATTTTAATAAATACGAGCACCAAAGGTGCAGAGAGAGAAACTGGTTTACTCAGCATTAGCAGGTGGGATTTAACTTCTCACTTGTTTTACCCTGTAGTTCATACTGTTTCCCACACTACAATCCACGGTCTTGGGTTGTATTTCAGTACAGTAATTGTCCCTGAGCACCACTGGGACGTAATTGTGGAGTGTAGTCGACCTAATCTTACCATGTAGAGCTCTATTTCCAGAAATTCTTGAGGCTTCCTCAGAACCCTTGTGTCAAAAGGTTAAGGCCCTTCCTGCATTCTCTGACCTCTATTTTCAGAGGACTGTTAATACATGTAAATTGAAAACTTAGGTTGAGCCCCGAATTTTAAGTTTTACTGGTGAAGCTGGGAATCCTTTCCCCACCAGAGGCTAGTTTCTGGAGAGAGAAATGGGGCAGACGTTTTTAAAAGATGAAAACTGCAATTTCATCTATGCTCCATGTTATGAAAGGGATATCCTAACGCCTCTGATTGGCTGTGTATCTGGGCTCATTAATTAGGCATTTTGTAAACACCAGGCCAGCTGGAAGTGGTTTCTGCTGCATTTGAGAAGGACCTTAGCATTATAGCACCTAGTTACCTTTTGCTCCCTACATGAAGTGCTTGTTTTGGGATTATGGTGCCAAATTGTTATTTTAGAAGTTACATTTGTGTCACTGTCAACAGATTACATGGCCATGTCAGAATTCATCAAGGCCTAATTAAATTTTACACTAGGCCCAGCACAAGGGTGGAGGGGACAGTGAATTCCAGGGTACTGTCTGGATTTGTGGCACTGGGTAAAGACTCATAGGATCAGAATGGTACATGAAAGGTGGTTCAAAATTACCTAATTCCTCCTCATGTTAAAGATAATAGCTTTGAAACTAAGATAGTCACTAGATTTGTTATTAGCAGAGCCTAGCATAGAACCGAAGTCTCCAGGTCCACTATACCATATGCAAGTCAAAACAAAGTTCTTGGAGAAGTGATTTTTGAGAATGCAATTTAGGGAGAATAACTTTCTTATTTTTGAGAGCTTTGAAGACTTTCTAACCTTATGGGGTTTATAATATTAATTGGAAAAATCGTTATGTAACATTTTCCATATCAATAAATATTTCTCTGAAACATCATTTGTAATGCCAGCATAGGGTTCCATATTTTGGATATATATTATGTACCTTGCTTAACTAATCTGCTATTATTTGATGTTTAAGTTTTCAATTCTTTTGTGTTATTTAGTAAATGGACACATAATTTTCAAAAGAGCCAATAGGAAAGAAATGTTTGTATTCACTCAAAAATGTCCCAGGTTCATCAAGATTATATCAGAGTCACCAATGGACAGGTGGGTACTCCTTTATCATGGTCCTTCCTATTCCTTCTCATGGCTCAAAGGAACATTTTCCCCAAAGTTTATCTTTTACTAAAATGTGCTATGGAAATTTCTCACAGGTGATTCCTGAGCTGTAAGATAAGGTCTCTTATGACTTCTGTCTTCCAACTTTCCCTGTTCTGGCTTCATTGTTTCTGTCCTTTCCCAAAAGCAGCAGAAAATGAACAAATTCCGGGTAAGTCATTTAGCCCTTACTTTGTTTCACTGTGTGTGTGTGTGTGTGTGTGTGTGTGTGTGTATTTTCAGTGAGTTTTATGAAAGAGAGCCCATATATTAAATTAGAAAAGTGGAAATAGTTAAAAGTCACCTTCAGGGAAAATACTGTTTGAGTAACACAGCAGTTCCAAAGTGTGGTCTGCAGACCCCTGGGAACCCCAGGACCTTTTGAAGGGGTCTGTGAGGTCAGCAAATAATACTAAGATGCCTATTGCGTTTTACACTGTTGACATTTGCATGGATGGTGTAAAAGCAATGGTGAATAGATTGGCATGAATCAAGACAGTGACACCAATGACATTGTATTCCTCTGTAATGTACTCACTAAAAAACTGCCACCTTAAGGATATCCTTGATGAAACAGTGGAAAAAAATGTTATTAAATCTTGACCTTTGAATACACTTTTTTTTTAATATTCATTGTGATGAAATGGGAAGTTCACATAGAGTACCTTTGCTGCCTACTGAAGTATGGTGCTTGGCTGTCTTGAGGAAAAGCACTTGTATGATTGTTTGATTTGTGAGCTCCCCTAGTCACTTTTTTCATAGAATACTATTTTTACTTGAAAGAGCAACTGGCAGACAAAATATGATTATTCAGATGGGAATTTAACAACCATTTTCTCAAAAATGAGTGAAATAAGGGCTGGCCTGGTGGCATAGTGGTTAAGTTCGTACACTCTGCTTCAGTGGCCCAGGGTTCGCGCATTCAGATCCCGGTCTCGGACCCACGCACTGCTTATCAAGCCATGCTGTGGCGGCGTGCCACATAGAAAGTAGAGGAAGATGGGTACAGATGTTAGCCCAGGGCCAATCTTACTCAGCAAAAAGAGCAGGATTGGCAACAGATGTTAGCTTAGGGCTAATCTTCCTCAAAAAGGAAAAAAAAAAAAGAATGAAGTGAAGTGACCCTGTCACTTCAAGGAAAATAACCATCAGTATTTGTTGCCAATGTTAAAAGTTGAGCTTTTAAGTAAAAATTAGAATTTTGGAAAACTTGTATACTCCACTGTGAAGTTGACAACTTGTAAAACTTAAAGAGTTTTCTGATGAGACTGGTGAGGATACTACAAACATGATACATTTTTTAGTATTATGTATATATATATCGACATTTTTTATATTATATAATAAAATGTGTCAACATTTGAGTACTATTTCTGATGTATGTTCTCAGAGGCAAACTCAAGTAGTTTAAGAGGACAGAGTGGTACAGAGAAGTGAGGAATAGGGAATAAGTTGGTTAGGAAATGCTACTCTAAAAGGCAATATTTGAGGAATGTCCTGAACTAAATGAGAGAGGGAGCCAAGTAGAAATCTGGGGGAAGAGCATTCTAGATTGGAGGAACACCAAATACATACACCCTGAGGCATATTCAGGCATATTCAGAAACAGTATTCAGGTCATTGAAGCTAGGGGAGAATGGTAAGAGGTCAGATCTAAAAGGTAGAGGGGCTAGAATATGTAGGACCATTGTAGGCTATTTTAAAACACTGAATTTTTATTTATTGGTTCCTTTAAAAATTATACTTTATACAACCAAAGGAATGTACATAATGTCTGTGTATAATTTAGGATATTGATTAAGTAAACATCAGTGTATCTCCTATCTGGCTTAAGAAATGAAAATTACTAGTACTTTTGAAGCCCCTGTGTGCCCCTCCTTAATCTCATCCCACCATTACCCAGAGAAAATGAATCCTGCATTCTATGGGAACCATTTCTTTGCTTTTTTACTTTAATTTTTTTAAACAAAACAGCATATGTGGCAATTAATTAAATGCCCAGCCGTTTGGTAAGCACCTGACGTAGTCTGTCTTACATAATCCTCACAGCCAACTTTTGAAGTATTATTATTACCATATCATAAATTTTCAGTGTGGACATTATCTGTTATTAATTAAAAATCACAGCCTTTGGACATGATGGTGGAGAGAAAGAGGCTCTAGAAGGTGGGAGAAACAACGTAGGAGGAAGCTCAAAAAATTTAACCTATTCTCCAGTTCTGCTTCAGTCAGTCTTGAACGTATTTATATCTTCTATGTGGAATTCTCCTTATCTAGAGTACATTCACGGGTGGCACATGATGTTTTCCCTGCCTAATGCTCTGTAACTAATTGCTGAATGGTCAGTCTGAGACAGCAGAAATGGCTGGTGAGCCTTGCTGCTTTTTGAAGTTTGAGAGTAATCGTCACTACCAGCTCTTGGAAAAGTTTATTTTATGCAGATACTGGATTTTTTTGTTTGTTCATAGCCATTTTGGCCAGATTAGAAGATCTCTTTTTTATTCCTTTTTGTATCTCTCAAGTTCTATTGGTATAAATTTATTCTGTTTGAAAACATCTTTATAGTTATTGTTTTTATTCTGCTTGCTTGTTTGTTTTAGTGAGGGTTTGGTGGTGGAAAATTCTGTTTTGTTTATCTGAACTACTCATGAAGAACTTTTTCACTATGTATAGAAATCTTGGTTGACAGTTCTTATCTTTTAAAACATTGCAAAGCACTCACTGTCTTCTTCTTACTGATGCTATTGAAAATTCACCTGTTAATCTGTCAGACCTTTGAAGGCAGTTTGTCTGTTTTGGGCTAGCTGCTTTTAAGATATCTTTTTCTCTAGTATGTTGATGTGCAGACTTCTCTTTATCCTAATGAGATTTATTGTACTTCCTTTGGGTTGAGTGTTTGAGTGTTACGTTGTATCTCCTTTGTTGACTTTTAAGCTCTACCTTTTTGTGTTATTTTGTTTATTGCTTAGTCTGGAGATTACAATGTGCACCATTAACTTATCACAGTGTTTTAAAATAATATATTTCTTCATGAACAATATAATAAATTTGCATCAATATAATCCTGCTTATACCCTTTGCACCCATGTAGTCCTTGTCTTATATCTCACTTCTATATGTATTTTTAACCCCAAATCATTGTTATTTTTGCTTTCAACAGTATTAATCTTTTAATTTCTCTATTTTTTGTGTGTGTGAGGAAGATCAGCGCTGAGCTAACATCCATGCTAATCCTCCTCTTTTTGCTGAGGAAGACCAGCTCTGAGCTAACATCTATTGTCAGTCCTCCTCCTTTTTTCCCCCCAAAGCCCCAGTAGATAGTTGTATGTCATAGTTGCACATCCTTCTAGTTGCTGTATGTGGGACACGGCCTCAGCATGGCCAGACAAGCGGTGCGTCGGTGTGCGCCCGGGATCCGAACCCGGGCCACCAGTAGCGAAGTGCGCGCACTTAACCGCTAAGCCAGGGGGCCGGCCCAACAGTATTAATCTTTTAAAGAAACTTAAGTATGTGTATGTGTGTTTGTGTAAATAAAATAGTCTTTTATGTTTATGTACGTATCTGTGCTTTGGGTGCTCTTTATTCCTTCCTAGAGGTCTGGGATTCTTTCTGATATCTTGTCCCTTCAGTCTAAGCAACTTATTTTGTCATTTAATGTAGCTCAGGACTGATGGTGACAAATTCACTTGATTTGTCTTTCTGAAAATGTCTTTATTTCACCTTGATTTTTGAAGGATATTTTTGCTGGATATAGAACTCTATGTCAAGAGTTTTCTTTGTTTCTGTATTTTTAGGATGTCTTTGTCTTCTGGCTTCTGTTGTTTCTAATGAGAAGCCAGTCTTCATCTTATTGTTATTCACCTGAACATAATATGTCTTTTTCCTCTGGTTGTGCTTAGGATTTTCATTTTATCTTTAGTTTTCAACAGTTAGACTGACGTGCATAAGTGTGGTTTGTTTTGCATTTATCCCTCTTGAAGGATGATAAAGATTTGTGAGTTGTTGCCTTTTATTATTTTGGAAAATTCTTGGACATGGACTCTTCAAGTATTTTCTTTGCCCCATTTTCTTTTTGTCTTTTTTTTTTTTTTTGTGAGGAAGATCAGCTCTGAGCTAACATCCATGCCAATCCTCCTCTTTTTGCTGAGCAAGACTGGCCCTGGGCTAACATCTGTGCCCATCTTCCTCTACTTTATATGGGATGCCGCCACAGCATGGCTTGACAAGCAGTGCGTCGTTGCACGCCCGGGATCCGAACCCAGGCTGCCAGCAGCGATGTGCGCGCACTTAACCACTGTGCCACAGGGCCAGCCCCTCTTTTTTTCTTTCTAAAATTCCAATTACACAAATGTTGGACTGTGTACATATTGTCCCAAATGTCTCATTTAGTTTTGGGGGGGGGGGTTTGTCCTTTAGTTTGGATATTTCTATTGAACTGACTTTTTGCAAGTTCATGGTTTCCTTCCTCTGTCAATTCTCTTCATTCATAAGCCCACAAAATTCACTTCTGATAGTGTATCTTTTAATTCTAAAAATTCCTGTTTTTTTCTTTTTGTTTTTCTTTCGCTGCTAAGATTCCCATCCTTTCATTTATATTGTTTATTTTTTCACTAGGTCATTTAACATTTTTATTATAATTACTTTCAAGACCTTGTCTGTTAATCTCAAGAGGTAATCTGTGGGTCTGCTTCAGTAGGCTTCTTTCTTCAATGTAAGTCAAAATTTTCTGCTTCTTTCCATGTCTCATAATAGTTTATTATGTGCTAGACACTGTAAAAGTACACTAGAGATTGAAGTAAATAATACCTCCAGAAAAAGCATCCCTTCCTCTGACTGGTTGTTAAGTCAGTCTGATACATAGTTGAGCTGACCCTGGGCTTTAGTTAGATTCAGTTCACTACTGGCTTCAAATGATTTGAGGGCCAGAGCAAAGCTTTCCCTTCAGCAGGGCTTGGGATCTGAGCACCACCGACACTCCATTGATGGGCTTTATAGCTTAGCCACCAGCTTTTCTTTTGGGTGACTGATGAGTTCCTGCCTGTAGAGCTTTCATCACCTGAGACATCTCTCTCTTCCTGCCCTGGTGCTCTGCTGCCAGCCTTTGGAGGGTTGTTGCCATGCACCCAGTAAAGGCCTATGGGGAGAAAATGGTGGATATTAGTATTTCAGAGC